CCAGCTAAAATCAACATTACAGATGAATAGGAAGAATGTTTTTATTTTTACATAGAGAAGTGCTGTAAATTTTAAAGTGATTCAACAAACTAATCTTACAAAAATCTAATGGAAAAAACCTGAAAGCAAACAACAAGAAATCTGAGAATTGAAATGATTAGTAAAGAACTAAAAGAAAAATCAAAGTGAGTGAAGTGAAGTTGGAGGGAGAACTGACCATTTTGGGGGGATGCGGCTGTTTCCGCTGAAAGCCTTTCTTGTATGAGGATGCGAGCAAGAGGCAGACAAAACCCTAGCTTCGTTTTTTGTATATATAGTGGCATCATAGGGTTTTAACAGACTTGGGTTGGACGGCCCGGATCGTCTTCACGACTTGTAAAACTTGCTAGGCCCAACTTTTTTCGTTTTTCCATATTTAAATTGAAAACTTGTGTTTTTCAACACCTTTTTTTTTTCGATTTTGTATTTATATTTTGTAAATTGTAAATGATATAGTAACATATTAACTACTAAAATCAAAATTACAAACTATGGTTAAATATTATAAATTAGTTAAAAAAATAATCAATAATTAAAATATTTTACACTTAAACATTTAACTTATTGATTGATGCATGATTTATTGTTTGAGCAAAAAATTCAAATCTCTTATTTCTTAAAAATTTAAAGTCCAAACTAATTTGGGAATCAAATTAAACTCATTTTGGCAGGATATATAAATCATCTGCAGATTTACACTTAAAGTAGAATCTGCTGATAATAGATAACAGCTTGGGATGCCAATGTTTAATTAGTTCATCCAAGAGGCAAGAAGAAACGTTTCTCATCAGCAAGTGTTTTCCAATTCTCCTAAAAATGCGATTTTACCAATTCCTATCTCGAATTATTTGCTCTTGACGGTAAACATCCTCAAATCTTCCCACCATGAGTGGCAGTAGCCATAGTTTTGTGGTAGGTTCTACTTTCTCACTCGGAAGCAGTCTTTGGAGAAAAGATGGAACGGGAACAAAACCCACCACGCAGCACGGCAGCATGGCAGCATGGCAGGGAGGGTGATGAATCTGATAAGAAACCAACACCAGGAACAGAGACATTAACAAATCTCTGCGAAATCACAAACTTGATCCTCGCATGTGCAAATTTTGGTATTTTGTTAATGTCACTCCACACGGAACTTGTGATAATTTTACAAGGAATATCGCATCTGACCTGCAATGGGAAACAAATTGCCTACTCTTTTTGTTGATATCATCCAAGGAGAAAAAGCTAACGCTATTTTCCATGGGCACTGCTGAGTCCCTCTCTAGCATAAAAGCACTCCTTAGATTTAGAAAAACCTGGTGGTGATGTTCAGTAGATAGAAACAAATATGAAGAAAGAAAACTGCACCTAGGCATATGCTCTGTTCCCTGAACTCATACCTACAGTTTACTGCTTAGTCTCAAAACTGATGCTGCTAGCATGGACTTCCACTAGTGGTCACAACCAAAAGGAGCAACAGCTACCGAAATTTTACTAGCTTTATTCATCCTCGTGAATGAATGCGACATACTATACTCACTAGAATTTGTGCTGATTCCGCAACGCAAATCTACCCGGACAAGAGTTCAAGGAATGCTGTTTTTTCAGTCATTAGGCAGCTCGAGGTCGCTAAATGCAATGCCCTCTGTTGCATTTGTATAAAAAAGAGTTATAACTCCCCCGCCCCATCCATTGAAGACCTTTTTCTGGACGAGACAGGCAGATCCTTGTTACTTCCAAGACTATATTCTTAATAAAGAAAGCTTAGTGTAATGGTTAAGAATTGGACCTACAATGCAAGGCGTCATCACAATGACATGATATTTAATAAATACCATAAAAGAAGGCATAATTGAATATGACAATGTCCAGTCTGCAAGCTCCCCTAGAAGTAAAGCAAAATGCAGCTACGGAGGACATATTTAACATAAGTACTCTCCTCTGTTTGAGCCTGACATCTAAGTACATACTTGTAACGTCTAGCAGGGAATTAGTCTAAAAGCTGGTCAAACATTTATCAAATTCTAGTCCTTATCAACTAAATCCAATTATAGGATTTTTCTTACATCTTGATTGAACAAAAGAAACATTATCAGTTGGTCAAGATTGTTCAAATTTTCAGTAATGTCATGGCTTCAAACTACCTACTATAGTACTACAAAACTGAACTAAGAACTTCAGCAACTCATCTCCATTTTATTGAAAACATAAAAGTTATCCTCATTCAGTCATTCAGACCTAGAACATTTGTAAACATGGAAACTTAACCAAGCCTTATAATTGTCCTTATAATTACAGTCATCATACAAAACATGATACAAACAGAGTCTGTATGATCATCATACAAAACATAACTAAATCAAAGCAATTGAAAAATTACAGTCAGAATGGCAATCTTAGTCACTTGTAATGGCCATAAATGGCATCTTGCCACATATTTTCACTTGAAAATGCAGCAAGAAACAACACTACACCAATAGAACTTCTCCAGTTCCATATTTTGAATCTGACATGCTTTAACAATTATCTGATCAGTGCCTAGATCATATATGAAAACCACTATAAGCCAATTATTACTCAAGATTAAGCAATTTTCTATATAAATTAATTTAAGCTTAGAGCATTTGTGGCAACTTATAACTCCACACCATGCAAGTAAAATGATAACTTTCTAATTGAAGTTCTCTGCTAACGGGGTGCTTGCAGAATGAGTAACAACAATCCTGCCTATAAACTTTTACTGTGGAATTCACATACATAGTCCCAACCCAGAGATGCTGTAAAGAGTTTGGCTAATGACTCAACTCCAGAATTAGTTAAGGATTTTTTCTGTAAACTTTCTATGACACCACTATGATCATCCTTAATACATGCATACATATGTATATATATGTAAGTCTATGTTTATGTAAATACATACACATACACATACGCATACATAAATATATATATATACACACACACACACATACATACAACTTCTGATTACATTTCTCACTTCTCATACATAGTTTCCAACCACAACTTCCCATACTTTCCTACCTTTACCCCTCATATCCAACCGCAACTTCCAATACCTTCCTACTTTTACCCCTTACATCCAATTACTACTTCCTACTTTCCTCACCTCCTACAACAGTCACTAATCCCATGTCTGCTCGAGTCCCCTTTCTGCCATCTTTACCTCATTCCTATTAACTTAGTAGTTAGTTAATATAGTGATACAAATTCTCAATTCCACCATCATAAACAGGTAATGATCTTGCAAAGCATAGCCTTGTATTAACACCCACACTAACATCTACAGTCCTACATAAAAATAGAACAGGATAAGAATATATATAACATGTCCCAATTCCAGTCTTAGCATCTAAAGAATCCACCTCCTAACATTGAAAAAAAGTCGTACATAGTACTAATAAGTTAATATCCCTACAGCATTGGTTGATCAGTCCTTTCCTTACCAAGCAACGAAACCATCACCAACCACATAAACAGACATAAACACACATGCCAGCAGAATATAAATATACATGTACATATTACCAACCAAACTGAAGGTCTAGAACCCATTAAAGTTAAAACTCCACCAATTTCAATAAATAAACAAAACCCAATTCAATTCAATCCATAGGAAAACAACCCATCATCCAAGTCCCGTTAACAACATTCCATAATCTTAGTTTTTTTTTTCCCACAAATTCTTTTAAATTGAAGAAAAAGAAGCCTTAATTCTAAGCTTGCTTACTTTCCCATTAACGCAATCCAAACCACATCCACACTGCGGACACTCATAAAAATTTTCGATTGGAAAGCTTGCAGAGGCAATCCCCACAGAAAACTCCAGCTCGTCTCCATCTCTAGTAACCTCCACAATATTCAACCATAAAAACAGGATCTTGACGCTTACTCCACTAAGGTCTTTGAGCCTGTTGTTGGAGATGTAGCCGCTGATTTTGGATTTGTATTTGAGTTGATAAGATCCTTCTAGTGAGAAGCTACACGAACCGTCTAAGTAGGCATGGAATTGGCCCGTAGATTCGTCTAAATTGTACTTTACGACCCCTTTGGGGAGAAGGCCGACGGGGAAGTTGTAGCCTTGGAGGACTTCGTAGGCAGACGGTGTGTCGTCGGTGATGTTGAGGGGGAATAACGTGGCCAGTGACGATTGGATGAGGAGAAAGAGGGCTATGGAAATGGTCGTGAGATGGAGACCCATTTCTTTCTATTTTTCGTTTTTCGTTTCTCTGGAAAATGGTTTGAAGTTGTCTTACCTGGAAACTTTTGTTTCGTTTTGTTTTGTTTAGCTAGCGACAGGAAAGAGGACGAAGAGTGACAGGGAAATCGTGCACGAAATGCCTACCGGAAGGAGTAGTCGACGGCGTTTTAAGGAGAGAATGTGGGAGTCGCAGGGTTTCGCCGTTTTGGTAAGGCGCAATGGGGCACGTGGTACTCGACTGGAGAGAGCACGCTGTGGCAAATTTGTCAACTCAATAAGGAGACA